GCGTTTTGTTTGGGGCAATGTTCACCTAGTGTGGAGCTAGTAATTAAAGTAAGTATTCACTCTCTGCGCCCAACAAAGAAGGTATTACCCACCAAAGGGATAATTAGGGCCGAGTGGGTGAAAAATAGATGGTTTTCTGTTGTGGTAGGTAGGCCGCATGTGTGGTCCGTCGTCCCGTGGGTGTGTTCTGTAACTAACCACGGTTACGGTCGACTCAGCTCCGACTGACTTACAATTAACCGGACCGACGGTGGAAAGGATTTCTGTAAATCCTTTTAATTAAACCGACCGACGGTGAGAAGGCGGGGTTTGTCGTTTTACATCGGAACGAAGGTTTTTGATCAAAAAAACATTTTTTTGCACAGTTCTCAAATCTGCACCTCGAACTGGCCGTACCAAGCACTCAATTCCAACCTCATTCAGGTAGTCATCCGCGAGCGCTATAGGGCCTGCCAAAATCCTGCATTAGCAAGAATCTGTTACCGATGTGGGAAAAATGGCACTACATGTTCTTCGATTATGTCTTATAAGTACCGGTTAAGTTAAATTGAAATAAAGGTTTTATAGCAATAAACATTTTTTTGCAGTTCTCAAATCTGAACCTCTAGCTGGCCAACCAATCAATTCCAACCTCATTCAGGTAGTAATCCGCGAGCTCTATGTGGCCTGGTAAAATCCTGCATTAGTAAGAATCTGTTACCGATGTTTACTACATGTTTTTCGATTGTCTTGTGTGCCACTTATGGAATGTTCACACCGTACACTCTGCAGCCATTCATAGCCCTTCCGAATATAAGCAGGGGCACTGCCCCACTGTAACCAGACTCGTCTGCCCGACAAGGTCTCACCCATCATTAACGGAACACCGTCATCGATAAAAACCACAGCAAGGGTACTCGCAGAATTAGCCTGATTCTTGCCTTCTTGCTAAAAACGTCAACTGCTGCACTCGGGTCTCTTCAACCACTGCGAAGTCAACCGACTCATGGCCCCGGACCTCAGCCAATGGTTCATCCGTCACGGATCACCACCAATGGCACATACACGGTCCCAGCCTCGTCCGGGCCATCTCGACCCTATCCAACAATACTGGCTCTTTTCAGGTCCACTATAAACTCCCAGTCACTAAATCTTAAAAGTACTTATGTGAAGAGATCTTTCTTGCACAACAACCAATTTGGTGCAAGCGTCTAAGGAAACGCTACTCCAGAACATCAATGGCCAACTGTGGAATGCCACCTGAGGAACCATACATCTTGGGGTGTACCTTTCACCTGAGCACCTCCATATGTAATTAGCTGTAATGTAAGATTTAACAGGCCAACCCTTACCTCATCTATGAAAAGGACTTGTCCCCAATTTTCCAATGTCCAATTCACATGCCCCTGTGATAATTAAAGCCTGGGCATTTTCTGAGCTGTGATAAAGAGGTTGAAGAGCCGGGTGTTAGGCTCTGTGCTTTTTTCACTAACCCTTCTTACATTTCTGGAGGAAATCGAAACATTTCAGACTCCTTATATCATTTTCTGTAATGCTTAGAGGTAGAGCTTGAAGACAGAGGAATCTATCATCTATCTCGTCCGTAGACCTAGGCCCTGTCCTGGCTTTCTAGTGCGAGGTCCTGTTTTTCTGAAGCACCAAAGCCCCTCCTACTGCATAGTGATTTACACTCATTCTCCTTCCGCTTCGCACTGGCTGTGTGAATCCTCTAATAATGTTAAGGTCTTGACACTGTCATACTCACTCAAATGGAGCTAGTGAATAAAGTTTAAGAATAAGAATATCCCTGTATCTCTGAAGTGCCAAAGAACCCTTCCCTTGTAGAGTGAGTCAGTCTCCTGGCGACTTCATGCTGGCTGTATTCACCTATTGTCTCCGGCATGTAAACCTAATTTACTGTTTATTTTAAGTATGATAACGCCTAATTGGCTGTAACTGACATAGAAAGATAGTGGTTTTAATTTTTAATTAAATAAATTGATTGGTGCGTTAAATTTTTCCTCCAGTGTAGTAAATAATTCTAATCAGTAATGCTTTCACATATATTAAAAACATATAACATTATAAACTTGGGTAAAAGAAAAATTGATGAAGTGATGACAGACAATGATGATTGAATAGTACAAAATACTTATTTAAAGGACAGAAAGTCTATACAAATTTGAATAAAGTGCACAGGAACAACCGGGCTGAGTGGTTACCTTTCTTCAAACTCAGGGAATCAAATGTTTTAATTGAGGTTAAAAATTTAATGAGGTTAACAGATTGATCTCCCCGAGTAGAGACTTTATAAATGTTTATTTTAAATTTGTCTCTTTATAATCTTTGAAAAAAATCATAGAATTTTCTGTAGATTTGATGAGTTTTTTAAAAGTCTGATGGCTGCTGGAGGTGACTCAACAGATAGCAGCACAATCATGATTGATGAAAAAAAATGTGGCTTCTTACATTATTTTTTTAAAATTAATACAGAAAAAAATAAATATATATGGCACCCTTGGTGTAAGTGTAGTAAATCATGTTTAAGGGCTGACAGCAACACAAAAAAAAAAAAAAGTAATGAATGAGTAACATAACATTATCAACCATGAGAAAATAACATAATAAACATAACAAATGGCAGAAAAATAATGGTTACACATTGTAAGAATTATAATTCTGAGAATTGTACTTTCCCCCAAAGGAGTGAATGTGCACTTGTTTATGCAAGTTAGAATGATATAGGTGCTAACAAAATTAATGATTACTTCAAAAAGAGTATAATAGTATAATTAAAGATAATTTTAACACAATGAATGAAAAGAAGCAGTATTGTATAAACAAAGAATTAAGCAAACAAAATTATGAGATAATTGGTGTCCTTTTACAAGTTGATAAATTAATGTTTGAAAAACACAAAAACAAGTAACTTTTTTATATAGACAAAATAAAGAAAGGGTCTCAAATTCGTTTTAAAAAATCAAATGAATGAAATAATTTTTAAAAATAAATTAATCATAATTTTATCCCAGTGAAACAAAAATAACGTAACTCACTTGTATAAACACAAAAAAATAAACCAAAAAAATATTATGAGATAAATGGAGTTCCTTTGACCAGTTGATAAAATAATGTTGGAGTGACAAACACAAAAAACGTATCTTTTTTTATATGTATACAAAATAGAGAAAGGATGTCAAATTCGTTAAAAAACTTAAACCAATGAAATAAATTTTCTTGCATAAATTAACGGTAATTTTAACACAGTGATACAAAAATAAAATAACTCACTTGTATAAACAAAATATTTAAGCAAACAAAATTATGAGATAAATGGTGCTTCTTTTACCAGTTGTTAAATTAATGTTTGTGTGAAAAACATAAAAACAAGTATGTTTTTTTATATATAGAAAATAAAGAAAGGATCTCAAATTCGTTTTAAAAAATCAAACAAATAAAATAATTTTATTAAAATAAATGAATGATAATTTTAACACAGTGAAATGAAAATAAAATAACTCACTTGTATAAAAACAAACAACAAAGTAAAAAAAATGAGATAAATGGAGTTCCTTTTACCAGTTGATAAAATAATGTTTCAGTGAAAAACACAAAAAAAGTATCTTTTTTTTAATATACAAAATAAAGAAAGGATCTGAAATGAATTCAAATAATAAATTGCAATTCAAACAATTGATAGTTAATAGGGTTAATAATTCAATTTGACTTGAAAAATAATGAACAAAAAGTGTCTTATTTTTTGAAAAATCTCCTTTTCACTTTCAGCAGCAAAATAATAACAATAATAATAGTAATAACAGTGATGAACAACAATGGACGAAGAACACTGGAATGGAAATTTTCAGTCTTTTAAACCAGATGAACTTTTTTTCTATATATACAGAAACCAGACCATCCAAAGACTTTTCTGTTGCACAGGCCAGCACAAAACCAACAGGCCCGTTCTTGTCAAAGTCTCTCCCCTCCTCATCAATGTTGCCAATGTAAGGGCACGTTTGGCAGCTATCATAAATACAACTAACACACACACACACACATACACACACCAATATCACCAAAATTGATATGAAGAAGGGAAAGTTGGTGGACTTTGATTGCAACATATGCTGGGTCTGCCATGCTGCCATGCTGCACATTATTCCTCAGCAGCGCACACTCACCAGCAAGGTGGAGAACAAAAGGCTCTTCTCTCTGCACTAGTGGGTGCAAAGCATGCCTGTAATCCATGAAAAACGAGAAGCAGCAGATACTGGTCGCTCCGCTACAGTAGGTTGCACTTCCCAAAAAAAAGATTTTCATACTCATTCCTCGGCTTACCAAGGTATATTGAATTTGTTATTATATGAGGGTGTAATATATTTTAGCCAAGCCAGAGGGGAAGTGTTACATTTGTTATGTAGAAAGTAAATATTTCTTAAACCGTGATGAAGATGTTCTTGTACTAAATCGAAACAAGAAGACGATTCGATAGAGATCAAATAGGGGTTATCACAGTATTGGAGACAAGAAAAGTTAATGTTTAAGCCAGTGTGATCGAATTTCACAGATTAAAGCACATGAACTTGGATTTAGTACAACTTTAAATTTACTGTACTACTTTACTTAAGTGAAAGTTGTTTAAAAGCAAACCATTCACTAAGAAGTCCCATGTCACATTGCATCTACCTTTCTAAATCTTTCCAAGATTTGCCAGACTAATGAACGAAATATCATCTACCTCAAATAAACAGATAATTGCACTTTAAAGATAAATTATGCTGGGTTTTATGCAACGAAATGCAAAATCAAAACATGCCAAATTGCAAAATTGTGCTGGAGCAATATTAAATATATGCAGGATAGACAGATGATTACAATTATGCATTATTTAAAAAAATAAATTTAGATTACAAGCATCTTTTAACAATTCCCTTGGGTTAATAGCTGTTTCATGTTATTTTTCAGCCTCTATTAATTTATAAACAAGTTATTCCGGATTTTTAAATAAAAGAAAATGCTGCTTCACTTTTCGCAAATAAATTTATTTACCTGTTTAAAGAATTGAGAAATTACCTAGCGTATTGAAAACTAACTACAAATAATAGTTAATGAATTGACAATTGCATAATAAGGCTTTTTAAAGATTATATTTAAACGCTTGTAAGACTTGCCAGTGCACCGTAACTGAGTCTTCTCTCAAGTTCCACCTCAGCTGTACAATTCTCTGCAAAAAAAAATTACATTTTAGGAAGAAATATTGTGACTGTTATTTCTAGGTGTACCTTCAAGTATTTTCTTCCCTTCGCTTTCAATCTCTTCTCTTGTCTTGTCTACAACAGTTGTTAGTTGGCCATTGTCCTCAATTGTGAAAGTGCAGTTTACTTAAAAAAAAAACAAAAAACACAACATATACATGTGTATATATAAAATATGTCAGTATAAAAATAGTTTACATGTTTCTAATGCCAAGTTTGCAACGGTAGTGTTGAGAAATTCAAGTTGTTTTTCAAAATCTTCTGCGATGCTAAAATTTGCAGGCGAATATGTATGATTTTTATCCGTTTCTTCAGTGTGGATTTCATGTAGTAAAAGAAGAAATCCAAAAACGACAAAGAACTGAAATGAACATGTGTTTAATTTAAAGTACTAAAGATGATTTTGCGATTGTAAATTTCAATTAATATTTTTAATGGGTCTCAAATAATTCTTTACGATATTGTTTATTTTCCATTGTAAAATGCCAGTGTTAACTAGAATTTTATAAACAATGGTAGAAAGATGGATTATTTAAGACAAGCTAAATTTGGTATACTTGTGCTCAAAGAAACAAAAAAAAATCAAGTTTTTATACTTTCACAATATTTATGAAGTTATTCACTATAAAAGATATATGTAAAACACCTGTTTACCAGAAAATCAATTCCACAAAAAGACAATTACATTTCACTTCAAAAATGAGAAATAACTATTGGAAAGTTTAGGTTGGTCGAATGAAAAAATCTCTTTGTTAACCTTTAATTCAATAGCTAAAAGCCTAGGAAGGTTTGTTAGACACAGTTTAAAGCAGTAGCATTTCAATGATAGAAAAAAATTTAGAAAAATCTAAGATGTTAAAAATGACTATTCATCTAGTCAGATACAATCTTACAGAAAGTACTAATATAAATTCTATACAAAGTTAATAATGAAGTCAAATGTATGGTGATTAATGACCGTTAATCAACAATTATTCAGAAATCGTGAGATGCAGACTGGTGTGATGTAGGTTTCAATTTTCTTTATCGTGCCAACGTTTCAATCTTTATTGAGATCATCTTCAGGGCTCAAAGTGTTTGTCTTCTGTGTAATTGTGCCATTCTTGCGTGTCGTGTTGTGTCCACTGGCACTCTCAACACGACACGCAAGAATGGCACAATTACACAGAAGACAAACACTTTGAGCCCTGAAGATGATCTCAATAAAGATCGAAACGTTGGCACGATAAAGAAAATGTTTTTCTGAAATCTACATCACACCAGTCCGCATCTCACGATTTCTGAATAATTAATGAAATCAAATATCATACACACAAAGATAAAACTCCTATTTTGTTATTTCTTTCAAACGACATAGTTATGTTAATGTAAGCCAAATTAAAAGAAGAAAGATCCATTCTAAATGATTATCACTTTGGTATGAGGGACATGGGACATTGATTCTAACCCGTACCATAACACTGTCTTTGAAAAGGCTACAATGATTCACACATGGCACATGAAGCAAATTGTTCTCCAGCATGGTCCGTGTCATCAGATTACTGCAAACCAAACCTACACTCATTCATGAAGGTTTATAACCATTGCCGAAATGTGCTTTTTGATTATGTACAATTTTTTTTTACTCTCTTTTGTTTATCTAATAAAGTACTTTTTCATTCATTCATTCATTCATGAAGAGAATATCACCTGTTGTTCAAATGACCAAGATGCTGATTTGCGAATAGTCGAATTACTCAAGGCCTCACAAAAAGAAGAGAACCTGATGCAGGACATCTTGATACTACGCTATTCTTCTCGAAGCCTTTTGGTGGCTGTTTTAGAGCTCACCCTTACATTACAAACTGTTTGAAGTTGGCCACCGTTAAATGACGGTTCCGTAGTACAATAAAATAATCATCTCTAGCCATCGTACATTGTGGTCGACCAGTATCTTCTTTTCGATCAAGAGTTCCAATGGCCCTAAACTACTGGGATTGTGGATGGTAAAGTGCAGCATACCCAGCACTTGGACTATATAGAGGATCGACTGTCATTGGCCAAAGTATTATTGTCGGGAACAATAAAAAGAGCAGTAACGTGAAAAATACTTTTAATTATAAAAGGAGCAATACACAAACATGTGTCAGCGGATAACTCACAAAGTAACAACTTCACTCTATTACAGTTACCGGTGTACCAACATTCATTTTATAAATTTATCTACCAATAAGTATCTGCCCAGGGGAGATCTCGACATAAAACCATGCCTTTTTAGAAGAATAAATTATTTATTAATTTTTTCTTCAAATTTATTGTTTCATCAAAGAAAGCAATTAGCAAACCAATTGACTCACTTGACAAGTTGGCTCTGGAAAGGACGAAATTGAACTGATTTTCTTTATTTTAATCTAAACAGTAAAGTAATTATACGCTATAAACAACAAGTTATTAATGTTATGACTAGTTATTATGGAAAATAAACAAATAAATAAAAGTATCTGGTTTTTTATCTTTTAGGGTATAAACATTGCGACCAAGTCAATTGATCAATCTACAAAGATAAATCCGTGTGTCAAGCATGTCAAAGGGCGAGGTCATCATGCCATCTGTTCAGAGATTCACTGGAAAACAAACTACAGACTATTTATTTAGAAATCGTGAGATGCGGTCTGGTGTGATGTAGGTTTCAGAAAAACATTTTCTTTATCGTGCCAACGTTTCGATCTTTATTGAGATCATCNATAATCCTGAAAGGATAATCTGGCCGAACCATTACCAACACATTTTTTCCCTTCGTCGGCTCCTTTCACCTCATAGAAGCCGACGCCTTATACAAAAATGTCTTTTCTATACCGACATCCTTCCCCACCCCTTCAAAATCCAACGTACATAAACACAAAATAGCAAAATCTCACTGGCACTCTCGACACGACACGCAAGAATGACACAATTACACAGAAGACAAACACTTTGGGTGAGTAGAAATACTTTGATTGAATATGTAAAAAATATATTTTGCATTGTATAAATTCACTTTTCCACATCCAAAATGTAATTGTAATATGTAAACAATGTTTGTAAATCCCAGGCCCTGAAGACGATCTCAATAAAGATCGAAACGTTGGCACGATAAAGAAAATGTTTTTCTGAAACCTTCATCACACCAGACCGCATCTCACGATTTCTAAATAAATATCGATTAACGGTCACTAATCACCACACAAACTACAGACTATTCAAAGGATATTTTTCAACGAATACACTGAATTCAAACTGTCTTAAACAACAAAGAACGTAGACATACCGATCTGGACAACATGGCGTTAAGAACTGGTCCAACTCCTACTCACTTTTAACCTTGCGATTCCGTTAGGCGAGTTAATTTCAGCATCCCTGCTAAAAAAAACTTGTTTTCACCATCGGCAGAGATGTCACAATCAGATCTTACTGTCTGCCCTAAAAGGTAGGATTTCCTAGGATAGTCTGTCTGGCTTTTAATTAATTAAATTTTTAATTCAATAGAGAGTATTTCAATGGAATCCACCTTGCCACGGGTCTTTTATGTTACACGACCACACAGCTTAAACTCTTAAAGCAACTTTCATTTCTATTGTTATTGTATGTTGTGTAATAAAAGTCCATATTGCCGGAGTTTTTAGATGTTTTTAGCATAATTGTCATGAGGACTTTGTTCCCCAGCGTTGCTATCTGAGTTTGACATCAGTGGAGGGTTCCGTTGACAATTATGTCGCTCATACTGTGGGTGAAATAAAATATTAAAAAAAAGGCTGTTGATTTCTTGCGTTATAAAGATATTCTGTATAATAAGCGATTTCGTGTTAACGGGTAAGCAATGACTGTTAAGGTCGATTCAGACACATCAGTGACGTGACAGTGTCGTGTCCGGCATTTTGTCCAACCGGCGGGTTTGAAAATATTCATGTTCCTTTCGCCATACAAACGATAAAAAAAGCTCATGGATTGGTTCTAAATAATCCTGTTTAATCGTTTGATATAAACGATTCGAAAAAGAAGAAGAAAATAAAAATAATTTCTTAAGAAAATTTAATAATAAAAAATCAAATTGAACGAAAATAAATGAGAACATTAAAGTGTGCCAATGTTTCAAATTAAATGAAATAACATTAAATAAAACCATTCACCCGAAACTCACCTTGCTGAAACTTGTCGAATTCACAGCGGCGACGCAACTTCGGGCCCGAGTCCGCCGTAGTCACCGGTGTACAGCTTCGGCTAATTTTATTGGTAGTATTAATTTCGGGTTGAACCAAAAAAATTAGTTAAATCACTGGCACAACTTTAAATACCGAAAGCGGTATTAAAGTATTAAGTTCTGCAACAAGCAAAGTTTTGCTCCATGGTCCACTAATTCTTAGTAAAGTGATAATTTGGAGATCGTGAGATGCGGTCTGGTGTGATGTAGGTTTTAGAAAAACATTTTCTCCATCGTGCCAACGTTTCGATCTTTATTGAGAAGTCCTCAGGGCGTGGGATTTATAAACATTGTATAAATTAAATTCACTAATTTCGTGGTCCGCTTGACCAATTAATATATTACAATTAATTAAGGTTTAAAAATGGCAAAAAGGAGGGAAGATTCGAAAGGTGCGGTTGAGATGGGATGTTGGTGTCCGAGTGGATCGAGGTCACGATAGCTCAAGTGGTAGAGCAGCGGCGTATCAAGCCGAAGATCGTGGGTTCGAATCCCGCTCGTGCCATTGACTTTTTTATCTCAACTAAAAACCTTAATTAATTGTAATTGTTTAAATTATATAAATACATGTAGGATGTGAATAGGATATTTGTATTCACTCAAAGGTTTGTTTTCTGTGTAGATGCGTCATTATTGTGTGTCGTATTGAGTGCCAGTGAGATATTGACGTTTTAGAAATGATAAATGATGGAGTGAGTGTGGTGTTCAATCCTTTTTAAAAAGTTCCTACTCACAGTAAGTTGTTTTGCAACGATCCGGATTTCGAGCCTTTTAGCTCATCATCAGGTTGAAGGATTTCTACAAACACGTCTCTCGACATGAATTGCCAAATTGAACCCGCTGATACTTCCGCCAAAGCGACGTCCCAATTAGCAGCTGATTTTTTTAATGGCGCTCAATTTGAACGTGCGAAACGCGGAAATTATAACACAAATAAATATTATACTAGTAAATACTTAATATTATTAAATTACTATAAAAATAATAACAATTAAAATAATTAGTTTAATTATTTGGATGTTTGATATTATTTATGTACATATTTAAAATGGGAGGTAGATCAAAATCTGTTATATTATTAATGCATTTATCACAATATTCAATTTTACATTTTTTAATTTCAAATTTCTCAAACCAATCTAATTCTTTCCCTTTGTTGAAACTATGTAACACTCTTGTATTTAGATTTGAATTGAAATTATGTTTTGTTTCTTTTAGATGGTCCTTAAATTACGAAAATTTGCTCGATTTAGACAAGTGTTCTTTTACTCTTGTTTTTATTTTTTGTTCTATATATTTAAAATCACAATCATTACAATTGAGTTGGTAAACCCCGTTTTTTGCCAAGTTATCTACTTTGTCTTTAGGTTTTGAGAGGATGTTTTTAACTGAATCCGAACTTCTAAAAGCTATTCTAAAACCTTCTTGTTTATAAACTTCAACCTGATGATGAGCTAAAAGGCTCGAAATCCAGATCGATGCAAAACAACTTACTGTGAGTAGGAACTATCTTTTTAAAAAGGATTGATGTTTTATGTATATAAGTTTGATTTTGACGGGGTGGGGAAGGAAATAGGGATAGAAATCCATTTTTATATGAGAAGTCGGTTTCTTTGAGGTGAAAGGAGCCGACAATGGGAAAAAATGGGTTAGGGTTCGGCCAGATTATCCTTTCAGTGTTATATAGACGGGGTTAGGGAAAGGAAAGTCAAATTGTGGAAGAACTAGACTATGTAGAAATGTGTCTATGTGAAGATGATCTCAATAAAGATCGAAACGTTGGCACGATAAAGAAAATGTTTTTCTGAAACCTACATCACACCAGATCGCATCTCACGATTTCTAAATAAATATCGATTAACGTTCACTAATCACCACGCCTTATATTAGATGTTTTGTGTGATGTGATGATATATGTAAGTTATCGATATTGAATTTGATCAATCGTATCCTAGCTGCGTATCTGTTCTGTAATTGATGCTGTGTTTATCCCTGATGATGTAAACCATTTCTAAAAAGTTACGTTTATGTTTGTTTTGTTCTGTGTGTAATATTTTGGGATTGTTGAAGCCGAAATAGAGATGATGTTCCAAATGATAGGTAGCCAGTTTTGTAAGATTTTGTTTGGGTTTTTTGCAATCATAGATATGTTGCTTTACTGTCATATCCAGATATTAGGTTGTAATAACGATGTATGTTGACGGACAATTTAAACAATTGATTTTGTCAATTACATCAGACCTATTTGTTGATATTGTCGGTGTGGGATCTTTAATTTTGGGAAAAAAAGTGCTATTTTAAAGTTATCAGAAGATAGAAATTGGTTTAATTTATGTGATAGGCCGTGAACGAATGACATATGTATGTTGGTTTGTCTATGTTTGATAGAATTGATGTAGTATTATTAGTAATTCTTTTTAATTAATTAAGGATTTGGTTGAGATAAAAAAGTCAGCGTCACAAGCGGAATTCTAACCCACGACCTTAGGCTAATACGCCGCTGTTCTACCACTTGAGATATCGTGGCCTCGATCCACTCGGACACTAACTTCCCACCTTCCGCTCGTGACACTGACGACAGCTCAAGTGGTAGAGTAGCCGCGTATTTAGCCGAAGGTCGAGGGTTCGAATCCTGCTCGTGACACTGACTTTTTTATCTCAACCGATACCTTCAATAAATATTAATTAATTGAAAAATGTTTAGAATATTGTTCAAATCTTTAAATGAAAACAACTTAAGGTTTAAGGACCAAATAATAGTTATTAAGACATGGGGGAGCGTGATCGCTCTGGGGGTGCTGTGTTGGCTGGCTAAGGTGGACTCTGTGGTTTGGGCAAATGGTCCCCGGGAAGCGGAGAGGGTGTGGATCTTTTCCAGGGGCATCTGTTGCCATGTCAGGTTTTGATCCAGATTCTCCTAATGCTATCGATATTCGGTGTATACCCGAATGGTAGTGGGTAGTGCCCTTTAGGGGTGGCCCGGGTCGGTTGGCGCGGATCCTTGAGGTGGCGAGGGTTCTCACGAACAAAATGATATTGGCTGAATTAAAAAAAAAATTGTCATGATTTATAATAGATTCCTTGTGAACGTTCAACAGCGTTTAGATGGTCATAGAACAACGCACATATTCGGTCGATTGTGACGTGTGTGCGTCGATTGTTTACTCTTTTAAGTTCGCGTATTGTTGTTTGAAGTCTTTTGACGTGCTTAATAATAGCTAATTTGTCATTCAAATTGCTTTATTTATCCATTAACAAACCGGTTATTTGAACTAATGTCATTCTTCAAACATCAATGGACTCGGTTATATCCTTGAAATCTGTAATTACACTGTAGACGTGATCAATGGGACTTTATCGACTAACTTTCTCATTTAAATTCCACTTTTTATTACAATTGCTTTTTTGTCAATTTGATAAAATTAAATGTCAATAAATAAATAATTTGTAATTATAATTAATAAACTGTCTTTTGCATTGCAAGGGAGAGTTTATCTTCAACCGCAGCATAGACTCGCAAGCGCTCCAGAACTGATTCTGTCCCCATTCGAATCCAGATCGCCTTCACAAATCTCTGCAAAAATATGAGTACAGTTTTAATGTGAAACTAAGTTTTAAGTTGTCTTTCATCAGGTACCGTCGAATATTTTCTTCCCTTCGCTTTCGATCTCTTCTCTCGTCTTGTTCATACTGATCAGATGGTCATCCTCTTCCACCCTGAAGATGCAGTTCCCTTTTGAAAATCAAAATTAGACTGATATACCATAGAGAAAAAAATAAAAACTATGTTATCATAAATTGATACTTTTGTTATTTTTTTTAATAAGTTGTTTTTTAAAGTTTATTATTTATCTTATTATTATATTCACGCTTCATATCTTCAGCTATGAACAACTAACTTTTTACTACTTAATACTTTTTTACTACTTACTAATACCTTTTACTACTTTTAAAGTTAATAAAGCTGAAGAGAGTGATTACCTCAAATCGATACATGTACAATAATACAAATATAAAAAAATAAATAAAAATAAGGGTATTCACGATCGTTGTGTTGACCATGTTAACTCTGTTAAATTCTGTTAGATCGAGAAAAATGATGACGTAGACTTGTAAGAATCGGCTAGTTAACATTGCTCGATCTAACAGGCCAGGGCCAATGTTAGATGTTAGGTCGAAAAGGTAGTCACATTGCTATCCGTTAGGGCGTAGGTAACCAACATGGCAGCCATGAATTTAACAGCTGTTTTTTATTTACACAGCTTTATCGGATAGGGGGTGTATCTATTAGGACTGAGAGTATAAGGACAGGTCAGAAATTAACAAAAGAAATGTATTGATCTGATTTAATTAATGCGTATTTAATAATAAAAATACGTGTAAAGAAAAAACAGCTGTTAAAATTATGGCTGCCATGTTGGTTACCTACGCCCTACCGGATAGCAAAGTGACTACATTTTCGACCTAACATCTAACATTTAGCCTGTTAGATCAAGCAATGTTAACTAGCCGATTCTTACAAATCTACGCCATCATTTTTCTCGATCTAACACGGTCTAACAGAGTTAACAGGGTTAACACAAAGATCGTGAATAACCCTGGCATGTTTTTGCATGTTTTCGTCTAAGGAATACAATGATGATAAAAATAACTATTTACTTGTTTCAAACTGCTGGTTTTCATCAGTAGCGTTCATAGTTTTCGTTGGCTTTTGCAACTCGTCAACTTTTCCCAAGTCTTGGAGAAAATGTGTTTTATTTTCATCAATTCCTCTGGAGTGAATTTCGTGTAGTAGGAAAAGACATCCACTCAAGATGAACATCTGGAATGAATCGACGTTAATAAAATAAATTAATACTACAATAACTAAATTTTATGTTTTAATAAGTTGAGACATATAGTATGATTATTTTTAAAATATTCCCACTGAGCGAAACATTCTAGAAATTCAACTATTAACACCCCAATTCTTACGATTTCCGAGACATTTTTGAATCCATACAATCGATAAAAGTATACAAAAAATTGACTCGGCAAGCCTTGTTGAAAGAAGTCATCATGGTTAGGTTATATTATCAAAGTATGGTTCTATGTTACAGAATATCAATTTTACTATAAGTATTGACGACTTATTTAAAAAATTACATAATAGAAAATTAATGAGATGTCATATCATTTTATTTCGGAATTCTCGAGCAAGGAATATGATACCCAAGAAAAAAAGTCAGAAAACCGCCAAACCTGAACAACTGAATCAGATACCCAAGAAAAAAAGTCAGAAAACCGTCAAACCTGAACAACTTAATCAATAGACAAGTTGTTGCAATAACACTCGATAGGTTAAAAAAATTTAAAAAACCGCAACATATTTCTTTCGACTGATATAATTTCACGGGATGTATTAATATCAGATTTGATATAATCTTATAATGACGTCAAATAGACATGGACATTATTGCTGACTATTGTTTCTCAAACGTCGCCTAAGCAGATAAAGCTGCTAAAAACCGCCCTAAAATGTTTCACTATTTGTTCAAATTTTTTCTATTTTCTGTCTTCTGTTTTTTAAAAGGTTTGTACAAAAGCAGAACAACAGCAAGCTACATTAACATTAAAATAAACAATTAATGTTTTAGTGGTCAATTGACCAAGTTACTTCTTTCAATTAATTATTCTTTTTATGTAAGGTCTTGATTGAGATCAAAAAAAGTCATTGTCACGAGCGGGATTCGAACCCACGATCTTAGGCTAAATACGAGAAGTCACGATAGCTCAAGTGGAGCAGCGGCGTATTTAGCCGAATGTCGTGGGTTCGAATCCCGCTCGTGAAACTGACTTTTTTATCTAACCAAGACCTTACATAAAAAGAATAATTAACTGAAAGAATTAAAATAAACCTCTAGATGGAAAAATACAAAACATGTAATAATAGATGCTAACATTAAAAATTATTTGTTTACTCAGATCTAATCACATAGAAAATAACGAAAGAAATTTTTTTAATTTTGGTAAAGATGAAGATAAATTGACATGGACATCATTTATAAAATCCACAGCGACATAGCTGATACAGAGGTACAACAAGCTGCTAACTAGCAACAAAAGCAACAGTACACACAGCACACATTATTTGTCGCAGATCTTCAAACATGGAAAGAAAAATACAAACCTAAAATAGATCTCAACACTAAAAATCATCTTTCTAGCCAGATCCTTACTAAAAATCTGTTGGCACTCTCAACACGACACGCAAGAATGGCACAATTACATAGAAGACAAAGTTTGAGCCCTGGAGATGATCTCAATAAAGATCGAAACGTTGGCACGATAAAGAAAATATTTTTCTGAAACCTACATCACACCAGACCGCATCTCACGATTTCAGAATAACTAAAAATAATAAAATGACATTTAGGCTGTAAGGAAAGATAAAGGCAATTAGACATGGACATCATTCGTAACACCAATAGACACCTTATGCAGCGGCACAAGAAGCTAGTAACAAGCTGCAAAAGCAACATTAAGAAATTTTTTGAAATTACATCTCCGTAGGTAGAAAGAAAAATACGAAACAGAAAATAATAGGTCAACTAGCCAGATCTCGTCAGACAGAAAAAAAAGAACGAGAAACTTTTGTCTATAGTTATAGTGGATAAACCGAATACCAAACATTTTGGTATGTCCACTCTTATTATTAACAAACATTTAGATAAATTATATTTACAAGGCACTTGAGTTTTAAGAATTTTTAAATAATAACGACAAATCAACAATTTTCCCTCTTATCTTTGAAAGTTTGGTTGATACAATAGTTCATAGTCAGTCAAATTTATACGTATTTTATAAGCACAGTTTTTTAAAAACGTGTTTTTTTTCTTTTTAATGAGGGTTTGCAACAGCAGAGGTCATATATACCCTCAGGGTGCCGGTGTTTTTGAAAAAAAAAGCCCATTTGTAAGTAGTAAGTATGTCGGGTTCGAATGCAGGGCCGCTGGATTCGAACCTGGAACCTTCACCTTACAGTGATGAGCGCCGTGTCAACGCCTAAACCGTTGCGGCCACCGACGCCCCCTTCGATTTTATATAGACGTCAATACGAAGAAGTTATTCTATATTCCAATAGTCCACTTAGAGAGAATTAGAGAAAAATAAAACCCCAGTATCTCACAAAATATTAAACATACTGTAAATTAGATTTCATCAATGTAAAGAACATTAAAAATTCCTATAAGATTATTTTTTTTATTGCAACCTTAATTAATCAAATTACAAAATCAGTTAGAACATAATTTTGACGATTTTTCAAATTCATTGTCTAATGTCTTTTACAAACGGCTTAAAACAATTAGTCATTAATGTGCTGAAAATTTTATTAGCAAGTAATAAAATAATTCAAATTAAAAAAAGACTCTTTGCTATAAAATTAAGCATTAAAAAACACGCTAAGATTTAACCGAGATGGAAAATTCTTAAAATGAAGTCCATTCCGTATATGTCACAGCTAAGTACGAGCTCGTAGCAAGTATTCAGGAATCCTGTGCTTTTATGAAAGTGGAGAAGCAGGATGAACTTTTGAGAACAGAAAAATATGTCAGGAAACGATGTCAACATGAATCCTCCAAGGAGGTGTATATTTTGGACATTTAATTTTTTAAAGCTTGTCGATTTTTCTTATATTCGATTTTGTACAAAAAAGACATTTTGGCGTCCTTTGTATACTTTCATTATTTTCTAATAGAAGATTCGATATTTTAATTAATTTTTTTAAATCATTTATAACCCATAAATCAAATTTTTAGCAATAAACATTAATTTTTCACTAGTGATAACTGACGGTTGAGAAATTAAGTACATGTTAAGTACATGCCATTAGTTGGGGTAACTTTCCTGTAAGCCCTATATCTGACAGTATTTAAAGAACCAAGAAAAGCCTAAAATTTTAGACAAAACTTCGGGAAATTGCCAAAATTTATCTATTAACTAAGCTGGACAGTGGAGAAGCAGGATGAACTTTTGAGAACAGAAAAATATGTCAGGAAACGATGTCAAGCTTGAATCCTCCAAGGTGTATATTTTGAACATTTAATTTTTAAAAGCTTGTCGATTTTTCTTATATTCGATTTTCTACAAAAGAGACATTTTGGTTTCCTTTGTATTACTTTTATTCTTTTCTAATAGAAGATTCGATATTTTTAATTAATTTTTTTTTTTAACTATTTGTAACCCATAAACCATATTTTTCGCATTAAACTTTAATTTTACACTAGTGATAAGTGATATTTGAGTAATTAAGTACGCGTTAAAGCTCCTTAGCTTGGGTAACTTTCCTGTAAGCGCCATATCTGACAGTATTTGCAGAAGAAAATCCTAAAATTTTAGACTAGAACGTTGAGAAATTGTCAAAAGTTATCTTTTAACTAAGCTCGTACTTAGTTTTCTAACGGTTAAAATAAAAAAACACAGAGGAATCTGGAAGGATTTTTAGTACTCTTTTTATTGATGCAATCAAATTTGCAGTAGGATTAATATTTCATTAATTTTTAAAATGATTTTACGTTTTTATAGGAAAAACTTGTGAAAGATTGAAGAAAAACGAAAAATGAAATATCACAAATTTGAGAAAGACTATGGACAATTTTGACTGGGTAGACGCACTCCACAAGTTCAATAACTCCATGAAGGATTCACATTCACAAGATACCCTGTATATTAATTTTATAAAAAAAACGACCACACCTGTGAGTTGTAGCAAAAATATTTTTGAAAAATTAACTTTGGAAAATTCGAAAGTATTTTGGTTATGAAAATCTAAGAAATTAATTTTTTTCAATATTTGGTAGTGTAACAATTAAACTGAAGTGAAAAACACCTAGATCCTTAATGGTGAGATGCAATCAAATAGATATGAAAATAATTTATAACATCAACTTACATAGCCGATGCAGAGACAAAAGAATCTGCTAAAAGCATATAAAAAGTAGACAAAGAAAAATGTAAAATAGAATAAAAGGTTATCAAACCAAAAACATTATCTCTAACCAGATTTATTTCCACAGAAAATGAAATGAAAGCTTTGATTATGAAGCAGGGCAGACATCCACATCACCAATAATGAATTCATATCTTTCTAGAAGTTTTATAAAAATTAAAAATATATTAATCGTTTTGTGTAGGGTATTGGTTGAAATGAAAAAGTTAGTGCCACGAGCGGGATTCGAACCCACGACCTTCAGTTCAATATGCCGATGCTCTACCACTTGAGCTATCGTTACAAGTGGTTAGAGCAGCGGCGTATTGAGCCAAAGGTCGTGGGTTCGAATCCCGCTCGTGACACTAACTTTTTCATCTCAATCAAGACCTTACATGGATTAAAATGTAGTAAAGGCAATAAAACTTTGTTCTTTCTTCTAGGCTGACCATAATTCATTCACATAAGGGGGAAAAAAATGAAAATTTGAACTTTGCTCCTTTAGCTAAAAATGAACTTGAATCCACATGAAAGCCATCACGGTGTTCTTCAATAATTTATAGTAAATAAAAATCTGATAATTATAAATTTAAATTATTTAAAGTTATCATTTATTTCATAACTGATCCGTGATAAGCTTATCAGATATATCCTTACAGGAAAAACAGAACATTTGAATTATTGACGTTAGCATCGTGAAAACCTCAGTCTAATAATGACCATATTTTCGCACTGTTCTGACAAAATCCGGCTTTTTGTAAAAGAAGAAAAAATATTCTCGTTTTACTATTCGATTAATCAAGTGAGCATAAATTTAATGATTGTGAGGGTAAATTCATATTGAATTTATTGAAAATTTAAGAAATTGCCTATTTTCTATACATGAGAAGTGATGAAAACAGGCGAATAGCGATCGACAAAGTCTAAAAGGCTAGTGAGCCCAGTTAGAAATAAAAGCAACAAATAACAACAATCAATCAAAAGCGGTACAAGTAAACATACCGAGATTCCGGATTGGGATAGGCTTACCGATCTGAACGACATGACGTTAAAGACTGACCCACTGCCGCATCCTACTCCACCGGCGTTTTATCCCTCGCTAATCCGTTAGCCGGGGGGAAAATCTTACGCACGGCAGAAACGTGTTTTGCCAATAAAACTGGTCTCGAGTCATCGCTGGGAAATCACACTAGAAAACCCCATAACCCCAAAAGTTGCTATTTTGTCAATATAGTTTCACGAAAGCGCTTTCGAATTTGTGTGATATTTTTTAATGACAGGCCAATCATTGATAACAGTGTGAAAAGCGTCAGACAGACAAAACCTGCTAGGTAGACTATAAATGTCAGAAAACAACAAAAATATTAACTTTTTGTTTCATTACATTAAATTTTGCAAATCAAAACATAAAATATAATTAAATAATATTTCTAACAAAACAACGAATTTTGCATTTATCATATACTCCAAATGTAATATGGCCATAATAATTTAAACAAAACTTTATATTTTATTAAATTCACTAGTTTTCAACTAAAAACCTTAATTAATTGAGATATATTAATTCGTAAAGCGGACCACGAAAACTAGTCAATTTAATTAGTTAAAATGAAGTATACCTTCACTAAAGCTCTCCGTGGACATTTCATTTGTCGCCGAGAATCAAATAGATTACACGACATTTGAAAAATGGCAAAAAGGAGGGAAAATTCAAAAGGTAGAGTTGAGATGAGAAGTTAGTGTCCGAGTGGATCGAGGTCACGATAGCTCAAGTGGTAGAGCAGCGGCGTAACTAGCCGAAGATCGTGGGTTCGAATCCCACTTGTGACACTACCTTTTTTTATCTCAAATAAAAACCTTAATTAATTGAAAGATATTAATTGGTCAAGCGGACCACGAAAACTAGTGAATTTAATATTATATATTGTTCTTGAGTTTGGTCAAGATCAAGTATTTTGTGTCTTGAATTTGTAGACGAGTCTCAAGAAAGAGTGGGGTTGAGATGGGAAGTTAGTGTCCGAGTGGATCGAAGTCACGATAGCTCAAGTTGTACAGCAGCGGCGTATTTAGCCGAAGATAGTAGGTTCGAATCCCGCCCGTGACACTGACTTTTTTATCTCAACTCAAAACCTTAATTAATTTATATTATAAATATTTATAATATAATTATTTTATATTTTATTTTTTACAAATTTATATATTCGTTACAATAATTAAAACAGACAAGACAAGTACAAACTATAGTCCGTTATACCAATAGACCAAATAACTTTTTTCAATTAATTAATCTTTGTGTAAAGTATTGGTTGAAATGAAAAAAACCAGTGTCACGAGCGGGATTCGAACCCACGGCCTTCGGCTTGATTCGCCGCTACACTACCACTATCATGACTTCGATCCACTCGGGCACAAACTTCCCATCTCAACCTACAACTTTTCGAATTATCCCTCCTTTTTGCAATTTTTCAAATGTCGTGTGATCAAGATTCAATTCTCGGCGACAATAAACTGTAGTATTTCTCTCAAAGAATTCCGGTTTTGAAGGGATATTACAGGGCGAAGTTTTAAGTCCCTTTCTTTATTCTTGTCCGATATCGCTCAACGTTTCACAAAATCGTTTGTATTTCCACTATATAGGGGTAAAAATTTACCCCTGTCGACCTTGTGCTACTATCACTTTCTTGGAACGAAACCCAAGAAAATTTAAATTTACTTAATAAACACTTTGCAGATATCGTTTTAACTATTAATACCAACAAATCAGTGGATATGTGTTCACGAGATCTGGGCACTGCTGGAAAAATGTTTTATGTAGTGATTCTGGTACCTGGGTGACCCGTTTCCATCTTCAGCTAAATTTTTACAAGCCAGAAAATATTTCTTGGGGAAAAATACTATAGCGACCCGCTCAGCAACGGAGCGATTAAAATCGTGTAAAAGTGATAATTGGGATTGAAAGTGCATTCTGTACGACTAAAACTTGGTCAGTGTGCTATTGTATACCTCGAAGATTCACGATAGCTCAAGTGGTTAGAGCAGCGCCGAATTGAGCGTCGTGGGTTCGAATCCCGCTCGTGACATTAACTTTTTCACTTCAACCAAAACTTTACATAAACAAAATAACAAGACTTAAATTCTACTGACTTGGAAAACAAAAATACCTTAATTTTAAAGACATATTCCAAAACGTTTCAGTAAATTTGGAGTCGTAGTTCTTCAGGATTTGAACCTATTTTCAAAAATCTAACAAAACGCTACCATATATTGCAAAAACAAAATGATTATGATATCGAAGCGTTGCAGTTTTGTGTAGTATTTCTATGTGAAAAATGACCACATTATCTAAATAAAATCCCTCAGAGTTTATCTTTTAACTTTGACCCTTGCATATTATCGATTGCAGATTGTTTTTTTAGAGGTTTTATTACGGATCAGCTTTTTACTATGAATGTTTTTGACTTTTGATATCACTTACATTCATTGTTGTGTTAGTTGATTAGCACCTCACTACCAGGTGTACACAGCTGACCTCTTATCCCATCTTCAAACCATCAGCCTAAACTTATTAGGCGATACAGCGATGCTCTCCAGTAACTCGGATCCAGTCTTTTCCATTCAAATCTTAATACAACATCCTACCCTACCAGAGGGAGTCTCGGTTGAAAACTTCAGGGTATTTTCCAACTGCAGTCTATCGACAAACTCTTGACGAGGAATCCTCAGACGACTGATACGTCAAGAGGTTATGATAGGATACGGAGTCCAATCCGATTACACGACATTTGAAAAATGGCAAAAAGGAGGGAAAATTCAAAAAGGTGGGTTGAGATGGGATGTTAGTGTCCGAGTGGATCGAGGTCACGATAGCTCAAGTGGTAGAGCAGCGGCGTATCTAGCCGAAGGTCGTGGGTTCGAATCCCGCTCGTGCCATTGACTTTTTTATCTCAACTAAAAACTCTAATTAATTATAATATATTAATTGATCAAGCGGACCACGAAATTAGTGAATTTAATGAAACCAATTAAGTTTGTTCGTTTTGTCAACTCGTGGATTTATTTTTATCGCCCGTTATTCTCCAGAGACTAAAACATTTCCTACTCAATCATTATTTCATAATCTTTAAAAATTACTAAACCGATCGCGGCAGAGTTAGGTCCTCGGAAATAAAATAATACAAGCCGGCGTCCCACAAGGGAGCATTCTTGGTCCCATCTTGTTTTCCATATAGACTGCTGACTAGACGGATGATAATGAAATTTTGTTTTCCTACCCGATACTATAATTAGTACCACTGTATCAATACCCAGGAACACCTCTTGCACTAATACATCCAAATTGCTTTTACGTTAAAAAATACTTTTGCCCTAGACTATACGCCAACGACAAGGAATGAACGATATGCAGACAATACTTAGAACTATACCTAGACAGCCCACAAGAGACTGAAGCGACAGTAAGTAAACAGAAGACTTGGACAACTAAGAATACTGCTTGGACCAAAATCAGACATGGCTATAACAAAAAAACTGACACTAATAAATATTTGGCATAGGAATCGAAGCTATGGGATGTCATGAATCATGATCCATCCGATAGGTGCTTATGTACTCTCCATGCTACTTAGTACATCACTAACCTAACATTCCTGATGTTCCTCTCTTCTATCTCGCATCATCTGAGTCTTCTTCGTCGCCATGGCCATTGACTCTCCTTTTCCTCGTCAGTGAGAGTTTCAGCTAAGTAGTCTCAAGACAGGCGTCCTCCCGGAGCGCAGTGATTTGACCCGGTGAAAATCATAGCAAAAATTTATAACATGAATGAACCTACGTGAGACAATAAAAATAAAAAATCCAAAGAGATAAAACTCATATTTTAGAAAAAAAGACATTCAAGGAAAAGTTGTATCAGTTTTGACGAAGGACGTCTGGATAATTTCAATGGTTATAAACTACCGTGATAATGGCATCGTGACAGGCAGATTTTCGCAATAAAAGGATTCTTATTAACTTAAAAAAGAATCATCAGTCAAGTCAGAATTATCCAAATCTTAGAAATAGTATTAAACGATAGTTTAAAAATAATCCGAGATTGATCCTTAAAAATGAGATACCACCTCCAAATCACGACCATGCCTATCAGAGTCCTTTGAACAATCTATTAAATAAAATATCATTTAAAAAATCTTCTAAGTCTTTTTTTAAATAACCCTTAATATTCGATCTCACAGTGTATTCAACTATGAATATTTATTAAATTTATTTATTCAAAAAATTCTGCATAAATTAGTAATAATTAAAGAAGTTCATTAATGAAATGAAAATAGAACTTTTGTAAAACAGCAAGTCCCTGGGAAAAAAGTTGAAATCCTTAGAAAAACAATATTTTCTACTATTTCAATTATCCAAAACTTTATTTACAGATTAACATAATTAACAGTCGAATTTTACACTGGTGCTTTTATTTTCTCTAAGTAGACCTTTAACCGCCGACCAAGCTGGCAAGCGCTCCTCGACTGACGGCTTTTAATTCAGGACCGCTATCTCCTTCGCACAATACTGACAAAGGGAAAAAACTTTTAATTAATTTAATTTTTAACAAAATTTTTTATAAGAATTATTGGGTTTACTCACAATCTAGTACGTTTTTCCCCATGTCCCTGAGTTCATCCATGGTGCCTTCGTAGTATTTTATCGTTTCATCTTCTTCCACCCTGACTACACAATATTCTGCAAAGAATAAACACTAGTAAGATGAAAGAAAATTAAAACTAGAGTAAATTTTTTAAAACGGCTTTTGGAGTTATGATAGTTTAAAAGGAAAGTTATCATTCTTTCCAATAAGCCTATAAAAGTATTTAAAATCATTCAAAATTATCCATTTTTAGCGGGGAAATCGGCAATTCATTGAATATCCTTTTGAAAATACAGATTTCTCCATTTTTACTGCTTTCTATCTAAAATTGCACTGTTTCCAACTTCAATTGTACAAATAACAAGAAAAATAGTTATTTTAATAATATCGGCTTATTAATAATTTTTACAATTCGACAATTGCCTCGTGGAATTCTTAAGGAAGAGGACCAAAGGACCTCCGGCTCGATGACGAATCCTTCCGAAAGACAATTGCCGATCTCAACACATTCCGGGTAATAAATCATTGAAAAAGTTATTTAAAAAAATATTTCCATTCGAAATATGCATTTATACATAAAATATACACAAGGATAAATAATTTAAAAAAAAATAAAAATCTGAAACAACTACGAATTCAAACGTCGAATAGGATGATTATCATAAAATTTATTATTTTGATTAAATCAATAAATTTTTTAATTATAACTTTATTAAACTGTCGGTAAATTTAATGACCTATTTGGAAGGACGTTTTGTTTTGACTTCGGGGTCGCTGAGATTCGAACCCATGCCCTTCCCAGGATGATTCGCCGTGGTAACCGTATAATATTACATATATATAGAATGTATACATATTTCTTATTTTTTCAAGCAAAAAAATTTTTTTTTCGAACTTACTTTCATATGTGGATGTTGAGTTTTCAGTTGTGCTGTTCATGCCTGAGGATCATGAAATGATCATGTTAAACAATAAAGATCGTATTTCAGTATTTTTCATAATAAAACTCACTTTCAAGGTAAACCGTTTCTAGATCATTTTCAGTGTTGTTCAGACCTATGAAATAATTATTTTAGTTAAATCTTGTCCAGAATGGATAAACAGGCACCACTTACTTTCATGCAGTTCTGTCCCATTGACGGACACCATGTCTGCGAAATAGGATTTTTTTTTAATAGACAGCTTTATAACAAGTATTTTTCTTTAAAAAAAAAACTCACTTTCGAGGTGAACCATTTCTTGGTCAGTTTCAGTTTTGTTCACACCTATGAAAAAATGATTTTAGTTAAATCTTGCCCAGAATGGATAAACAGGCACCACTTACTTTCATGCAGTTCTGTCCCATTGGCGGACACCATGCCTGCGAAATAGGATTTTTTTTAAATAGTCAGTTTTGTAATTTTTTGGCTTAGTACTTACTGTCAAGAGGTTTGGCGTGTTCGGACTTCGCCGCAGGATATGGAAGATCGACGCTTCCCGTCCTGGCGTACACGTACATAACAGAACCCGATCTTTCCTCAGGCGGTATGTGCATCTTGACGTTTTCTATGCTCGTCGAATTTCTATTCCAATATATGTATTTTTAAACAAGTTTTTAGTTTATCTAATTGAAAGAGGTGATACTTACACTATAGCTACTTTCGTTTCTTTCTGGCCTAAAACCGCGAGAAATAGTGCGAAGAAAACCGCACTGAGCGTAATATACAATTTTCCTTTGAATAAATACATTTTGAAATATTTAAACTGACCTTCTCCACGAGACCAGGTGTGAGAATGAACTGGCCAGTTCGACCGGTGACTTAATCCTTCCCTCTCCAGGATCCTGTCGGCTCTCCCACAAGAACAATCTTATCGTGGTATCTTGAGAAAAAGGGAACTGACAAGGATCTTCGGTTTGACTGTTGATTTTTGTTTTTAGGATTTGATCAATCGCCTCGCGAAGTCTGTAGGAAGGACCTGGCTGCGTCATCCTCCTTTTAATTGCCCCTTCAAGGCTAACACGAAGGTAAAAATAGTCTAATTTGCTCGATTTCCACGTAAAAATTATTCAAATTATGGCCGAGTGATGGGCTGTTTTTATGGTCTATTATAATTTATAGTAAACAGTTGCAGATGCAACTCTTTTCCAAGAAGCTTGATTCGCACCTTTTCAGATTCTTAAATTAGTTTCCCCCAATAAAACAACAAAAACAATAATAGATACTGGAGGTTGAAGTCTTCTTTAAATTGTAATCGATTGATTAATGAATCTATATAAGTTCGGGCCCACTATGTAAACTGCTCAAAAATGAATAGGAATATTTGGGGGCATCGGTGGCCGCAACGGTTTAGGCGTCGACACGGCGCTCATCGCTGTAAGGTGAAGGTCCCGGGTTCGAATCCAGCGGCCCTGCATTCAAACCCGACGTACTTACAAATGGGCTTTTTCACCCCGAGGGTTGATATAACCTCTGCTGTTGAGAACCCTCGTTAAAAAAAAAAAAAAAAACATATTTGTAATATAGATAGTAGTAAGATATCGAATAATTTTAATTAAATTAACTGATATATTCTTCTCAGTTGGATAAAATAGAAAATACAGACAAAAAAAATTGTTAATCCTCATTTTTAATTAATGATTTACTTAAGAATAGTAAACATGAAGAATACTCATTTTTTAAACAAACACCTTTTCTCGTCTTTTCCCCATTTTAATCTAGCTGTATTCTCTTTAAAAAGGAAAAACATCATCTTGAACCAGAAGCTCGCAATATTTACGCAAGAATGAGTCATCGAGGTCAACGGCAAGTGGATATCGCAGAGGCAGATGGCGCTTCTCACAGTGGTACTTAACCGATGCCACGCTACCCGACGCAAATCAAAAGTCCATTTTTCCGTAAGATTGTATTACCCCCATGCACATGTGCCTGATGCCACGCAACGCTACCCTACACTACGCAACGCGATCCCCACTGTCCAGATTTTCGTCGGGTAGCATCGAGTACAGTCGAAGAGAAAAGAACCGGACACTCATATTTTTAATCAAACTACGTGTATTATTGTCGTTATATTAATTACAACATACTTATTTTAATATAAACCAAATTAACTGTGATTAAAAATTAATTAATTCTTGCATGTCGTGTTGAGAGTGCCACAGAATGGCACAATTGCACAGAAGACAAACACTTTGAGCCCTGGAGATGATCTCAACAAAGATCGAAACGTTGGCACGATAAAGAAAATGTTTTTCTCAAACCTATCACACCAGACCGCATCTCACGATTTCTGAATAATTTGCTCCATAATCCATAGTTGTCTAGAGTACGCTAGTCCTATCCGATCTCCCTATCAAAAGTATCTTTGAACCAAAGTTGAAAGAGGCCAGACTACATTTTTAAGATATGCTGCTTTTAAATTAAAAAATCAATTCTGCGGATTACTTAGGATCACTTGTACTTAGCCCTAAACCTGTTACCTTTGAATCCTAGAAGGGAGCAAACTGATTCAATTCTCCTCTCTTAAGCAAAATCATAACAAATTTGGGGCGTCGATGGCCGCAATGGTTTAGGCGCTCATCACTGTAAAGCCGGGAACACAACGCTATGCGACGCTACCCGATGCAAATCCAAAGTCCAATTTTCCATAAGATTGTATTACCCCGTGGACACCTGCCCGTTACTATGCAACGCTATCCTACTCTAAGCTATGCGATCCCCACTGCCCAGATTTTCGTCGGGTAGCATCGAGTACAGACGAAAAGAAAAGAACCGGACACTCATATTTTTATTCAAACTACGTGTATTATTGTCGTTATATTAATTACAACATACTTATTTTAATATAAACCAAATTATGTAGGGTCCAATCTTCGTAGAGGTCATTAGACAGATGAAAAAAAATTAAATGCTGGGTTCACCGAGCTTTCAGTCGGGAACACACTTACGCCATGCGACGCTACCCGATGCTACCCGACGCCTTGTCACGTTTTGGTAGGGTGTGCACATCTATCCGACGCAAGCACACGTCGCGTACAATCCACAGCGTTTATCACAATCGCAACGCATCTTTTATTCTTAATGCACTATTTTGAGCAAAACTTTGTAATAAATTGTTAGTTAAATTTTATGAGCACAACCATCTAATGAATTGTTAGTTAAACTTAATTGTTTTAAATAAAGTTACTCCTAACCATCATAATTAAACAATGTTTATAAAAACTTTTGCATTTTTTATCTCGTTTAGTTTGGTTTACATTAAAATAACATGTAATTAATATAACGACAAAGTTACATGTACTTAGTGTGAAATAAACTACAAAAAACATGAGTGTCCTGTTCTGATGCTACCCGACATTACAAAATGGTGTAATTTTACGAGCAAAACTATGAAATAAATTGTTAATTAAATTTTATGAGCAAAACTGTGTAATAAATTGATCTAATTTTAGTATATGTACCGCCGAAGCGAGTACCAAAAAATCGTATTCCGTTGTTTTGATTCATTTTCTACCAAACCGTTAAAATTAATTTTTTAAATAAAACGTAATTAATTTTCAATCACAGTTAATTTAATTTATATTAAAATAAGTATGCTGTAATTAATGTAACGACAATAATACATGTAGTTTGAATAAAAATATGAGTATCCGGTTCTTTTGTCTTCGACTGTACTCGATGCTACCCGACGAAAATCTGGACAGTGGGGATCGCGTAGCGTAGAGTAGGGTAGCGTGGCATAGCATCGGGTTGATGTGCACGGGGGTAATGTATCCTTATGGAAAATTGGAGTTTGGATTTGCGTCAGATAGCGTCGCATGGCGTATTATCGGGTAAGTGTGTTCCTCGCTTTCGGCACGTTATAGTGCCATCATAAGGGCTTTCCCAAGGATGGAGAAAACAATTAACATGGAAAACTAGCGTTTTGGGTTTAAGGTTATGGAGCACATGACTAGTATATAACTGTAATTTTAGTTTTAAATATATAAAAAAGAAATTTTTATAAATATTCTCTGTGATCACAAAAGTACCTGTAAGAAAATGTAGCGGTGTATTTAGCCGAAGGTCGTGGGTTCGAATCCTGCTCGTGGAGCTAAGATTTTCATTTCAACCAAAACCTTACAGAAAAAGATTAATTAATTGAAAGAAGTAATTTGGTCAATAGACAACTAAATATAATGGATTTATATTTGTTCTTGATGATTTATTTGTAAAAGCTAAGTAGTTCTGATTTCAAAATGATTTAAAACAGCATTGATGATAAAGGAAAAATTCATCTTTGAAGTATTATATAATGTGGAATGTACTCAAATAATCCTTTTTTTTGTTTTTATTCACGATTTGTCTCAAATAAAAACAAAAAAAGGACTATAAAAGAAAAATTAAAAAAATAAATGTTTAAATTCAAAACTTTAATTTGTCTAAATGATTATCATTATTAAAAATAATATTAGAGAATTAATTATCTTAATCTTTAAGAAATAAGAAATCAATGAACAAAACAATGACTTAATTATTATTGATTACTTGATTAAATTATTTCACAAGTATGCTCCCAGTCATGTTTATGGTTTTTAAATCTTGTGTTTCAGGTTCATAAAGGATAATGAAGATTTAGAGAAGCCAAATTACAAAAGAAGCTAAAGCCTTGAAAATTATAATAATAAACAAAACTTTGCAACTATGTTTATAAAAAATATTTTTTCTCATCGGTATAATGATCAAATAAAGGTACTCATTTGTAAATAAATAAGTTCGAAAATGAAAGAATCACAGTCTGGTGGTTTAATTGTTTTCACTTTATTGGTAATACCATACGAATTCGTTTCCCAAAAGTTTATTCAGCTCTTTCTCACTTCCTTCCTCAGGAGTCTCGTCCTGGCCGACCCTAACCAACGTTATGTTGGGCTGGTAGCCGAATTCGTTTGCTGTGTAATTCACCTTCCTCTTGTAGCCGTCTCTTCCGTTGAAGAAGTAAGAACCGTTCTTTTCGCCGGCCCGGTTGCCGACTTCGTCGTGGCCGTGGTATGTCAGAGTGTAGTTGAACTTGTAGAAAAGTTTCATCAAGTCTTGGACGCTTTCTGGTACCTTTTCGCCTTCCTGTGAGCCTAGGTTTGAATCGAATTTATCTCTATTTTTATCTTTTTCCCCAGGTTTTTCTAATCTTGGGTTAAAGTGGTCGACAGAAGGTGAATTCTTGCCTGGAATTCCTGTCTTCATCGACTTATGAAATCCAGGACTTGCAGGGTTTGAAGTAATAAACTGTTCGTTCTGGTTTTTGTACTTTTCCCCTGGATTTTCCGTTCTCGGATTTAAAGAGTCGACGACGGGATATTTTTCTGGAAGTAGAGGTTTACCGGCGTAAGCGGCAGGGCCGACTTGGTCTCCTGCAGATCCGCGGAGTGGCTCGACTTTAGACGATTCTTTCTCTGGAGGTTTCGGAGTTGGAAGCAGGCATCCTCCGCAACCCGGTTTTCCGTCGAGTTTTATTTGTTCAGGCTGGTTCTTTATTTGATTGACACTATGGGGTTTTCCGCCTGCCACACCTGGAATCGAAGTCATCGGTTTCTCCGTGGCTAAAGGAAAAAAAATCAAATTTAGTCTGACTAATTTTCAAATATCAAACCTACAGCTATCATTAATGACCAATAATTAAATTGTACGACCTTAAAAATATTTCAGAATGTTGTTCAAACATTATGCAATCCATTCATATAGTTTTCCTAATTAGCATTTCGATGTGGAATGTTTTTTATTTAGTACTATGATTTTACGGTGTGTTTGGATTAAAATATAATAACGACGATTTTATGTAATATGACAATGAACCTTTTTCCACCTGCATGATCGTGTAAGGACGAAAAATTTGTTTATGGCTTTTTGAAGTCCAGTTCCTTTCATGGGCCTCAAGGATATCGAGAAGCAAGGTGAAGGTGAAAAAATTGGATATTTAGAATCACCACGAAAGCTCATATTACATGATCAAATGCAATAAAACTAGATTTTTAGACTTATGATAAGGAAAAAGGTAAGTTATCATTCTTTTAAATAAAGTACTAAAAAACATACAAAATTATCCAAATAGAAAGCTATTTTAGTGAGAAACAATTCATTAAATATTCTTTTTAACATTCATAATTTCTCCATTTTTACTGCTTTCTGACTAAAATTGCATTGCTTCCAACTTCAATTCCTTGTACAAATAACAAGAACATTCGTTATTTTAATATCTGTTTACAATAATCCTTACAATTCAACAATTGTCTCCTGGAATTCTTAAGGAAGAGCTCGAGGACCGAAGGACCTCCGGGTGGATGACGAAAATCCTTCAGAAACACAATGGCCGATCTCAACACATTATAGCTAATTAATTATTGAAAAAAATTATATTTTATATTTTACATATGAAATAGTTTTTTTAATTTATTGACAGTATGGGGTTTTCTGTCTGCCGCACCTAAAATCAAAGTCGTCGGTTTCTCCGCACCTCAAGGAAAAATTTAATCTGAATAATTTTCAGTAGTAAAACCTACAACTAACTCATTAATGACCAATAATTAAATTGTACGCCCTTAAAAATATCTCAGAACATTATGCATTCGAATCATATAGTTTTCCTACTTAGCACTTGTTTTTTATTTATTGTTTACTACGATTTTACTGGCAGTTTGTATTAGCATATTAAACGTCCATTTTATAAATAACAATTAATTAAGGTTTTTAGTTGAGATAAAAAGTCAATGGCATGAGCGGGATTCGAACCCACGATTTTCGGCTAGATACGCCGTCCATTTCATTTGTCGTCGAGAATCCAATCCGATTACACGACATTTGAAAAATGGCAAAAAGGAGGGAAAATTCAAAAGGTGGGTTTGAGATGGGAAGTTAGTGTCCGAGTCACGATAGCTCAAGTGGTAGAGCAGCGGCGTATCTAGCCGAAGATCGTGGGTTCGAATCCCGCTCGTGCCATTGACTTTTTTATCTCAACTAAAAACCTTAATTAATTGTAATATATTAATTGGTCAAGCGGACCACGAAATTAGTGAATTTATATATAACAATGAGCATTTTTCAGCCTGCACCCACATGTAAGAACGAAAAGTTGGCTTCTGGCCCCTAGAAGTCCAAGTTCCTCTTCCATTCCACTTCAAGGATATCGCAAAGCAGGGACATGGATTGGGTAATTAGAATCACCACGAAAGCTCATTTTGCATTCTCAAATGCAATAAAAGATCCAGAAATATTTTGCAAAATTTAGCATTTATTATCTTATTATTCTTTTTTTTTTAATTTTATTATTAAAAACCAGATTAGGAATTGCCAAGCAGGACGAACTATCCTGCTTAACAAGTGTTTCCGTTTATACTTAATATAATTTTTTTATATTGCAAACTGATTAAATGTAAAACTAAAAAAAGTTCTTTTAAAAATACTATCTAAAAATCTTCTTCTAAAAAATCTAAAAATCTCTTTCTAAGGCCAAGGATGAGTATTACTAATGTGGCAAATATATTGTTAGGATTTTTGACTCGCCGTACTAAACTCTAGAATCATATCTGCACTATAAAAAAAAAATTTGCTCCATAATTCATAGTTGTTTAGAGTACGCTAGTCCTATTCGGTCTCCCTATCAAAAGTATCTTTGTACCAAACTTGAAAGAGGCCAGACTAAATTTTTAAGATATGCTGCTTTTAAATTAAAAAATCACTTCTGCGGATTACTTAGGATCACGTGTACTTAGCCCTAAACCTGTTACCTTTATACCCTAGAAGGGAGCAAACTGATTCAATTCTCTTCTCTTTAGCAAAATCATAGCAAATTTGGGGCGTCGATGGCCGCAATGGTTTAGGCGATGACACGGCACTCATCACTGTAAAGCCGGAAACACACTTACCCGATGCAACGCTATGCGACGCTACCCGATGCTACCCCACGCAAATCCAAAGTCTAATTTTCCATAAGATTGTATTACCCCCATGGACACCTGCCCGTTGCTATGCAACGCTACCCGACTCTACGCTCTGCGATCCCCACTGTCCAGATTTTCGTCGGGTAGCATCGAGTACAGTCGAAGACAAAAGAACCGGATACTCATATTTTTATTCAAATTACATGTATTTTTGTCGTTACATTAATTACAGCATACTTATTTTAATATTAAACAAATTCACTCAGATCAAAACTTCATTAGTTTTTATTTAAAATAAATATTTTTAATGGTTGGGTAGAAAATTGATCAAAACACCGGAATACCATTTTTGATATAATGAAATTAACTACCAATTTATTTCATGGTTTTACTCATAAAATTACTTTATTTTTGTCGAGTAGAGTCAGAACAGGACACTCATATTTTTTGTAGTTTATTTAAAAACTAAATATATGTGATTTTGTCGTTATATTAATTACAACATTCTTATTTTAATTTCAACCAAATTAAACGAGCTAAAAATTCATGAGTTTTCATAAAAAATATTTAATTATGATGTGTGGTGATTAAAGATCGAAACGTTGGCACGATAAAGAAAATGTTTTTCTGAAACCTACATCACACCATATCGCATCTCACGATTTCTAAATAAATTTAATTATGATGGTTAGGAAGAAAATTTATCAAAACACCGGAATAACTTTGTTTAAAACAGTTAAATTTAACAAACAATTTATTTAAACTAACAATTTATTACAAGGTTTTGCTCAAAATAATGCATTAAGCACAAAAGAGCGTTGTGATTGTGGTACTGATTTGTGATTCACGCTGTACGTGACGTGCGCTCGACTTCGCATAGATGTGCACTCCCCACCAAAACGTGACAAAGCGTCGGGTAGCATCGGGTAGCGTCGCATAGCGTTCCATCAGGTGTGTTCCCGTCTTAAGGTAAAGGTCCCGGGTTCGAATCCAGCGGCCCTGCATTCGAGCCCGACATACTTACAAATGGGCTTTTTTCAAAAACACCAGCAAAAAGTGAGCTCTAACAATACTCGTATTCTCTTTCCTTTTTCTGTCCAAACTCAAAAATATAATTAATTACTTGCTTGTATGACTAGTACTTACTTTGTCCTTTTTATAACTTTAGATTGGTTACTATTGTTTCTTTGTAAATGGGCTAAATGTCGGTCTTTATTAATAAATAACTTTAGGAAGGTTTTCGTCCCTTTTCCCCCAAGAAGTTACAGGAAAAGCTAAAGTCTCGACGAATTTCGTTGGCAATATATCCATATATATACATTATCAGTATTACAATTTTACAAGGTTTTTAGTTGTGATAAAAAGTGAAAAATGGCAAAAAGGATGGAAAACTTAAAAGGTGGGGTTGAGACAGGAGGTTGGTGTCCGAGTGGATCGAAGTCATGATAGCTCAAGTGGTGGAGCAGCGGCGTATCTAGCCGAAGATCGTGGGTTCGAATCCCGCTCGTGCCATTGATGTTTTTGTCTCAAATAAAAACCTTAATTAATTGCAACATATTAATTGGTCAAGCGGACCACGAAATTAGGGAATTATCAGTATTTTTTTCTGTGATCGTAGTTTTAGAGCACTTACGCAATCCGATTTTGATGTTTTTCATTTTGATGATCTTGAAGTTGCCGTTTTCGTCTGTCGCGTAGACGGTCAGATGATAAACGCCGTCTGCAGTTATGAACCCGTATTCGCCCATTATAATGCCTTTTTCATCTGGAAAATTTCTCAAATTAGAAACAAAATCGCTAATAATTTTAATTCTCGGTTGCGTACTTTTTTCTTCGTATCTGTGCTGATAGCCTTCGATGTTGAAGCCGAATTTGTAAGGCCGGTTTTCGTCGGTGAAGCCGTCGCCTTCTTGGCATTTGACCAAATGAAGCCCGACCAACAGGATCTGCGATCAATGGAACCGTTGCACATTTAAATAATCCTTTGCTCTCATTCCATAAAACTTTATTCAGGACAATTATTTAGGAAAGGTCAGGTTTTTTAATAGTATTTAAACGCTTTCTTTCACAAATCTACACATTTTTAAAAAAGTGCCATTTTTAAAAATCGTCAGATAAGATTTATTGATTTTTGAATTACTGAAATGAAATAAGTGATTTTTGCAATCGAAAAACTTGACTACAAACTTTTCACACTTTTCGAGGAAACTGGAAGAAGTGCTAAACTGAAGTAGCAAGGCCAGGGTGTGTTTTTACGATGTTATTTTTGTGGAGTAATAAATGTTTTAATGCTTTTTATTATCATGAAAATTGCTGTGTGATTATTTATAAAGCATTAGTTGCTGAAATTCGTTGTTGAGATAAATTTTTTTTTCAAATTTCAATATTGCATTACATGATTATTTGGAGATCGTGAGATGCGGTCTGGTGGGACGTAGGTTTTAGAAAAACATTTTCTTTATCGTGCCAACGTTTCGATCTTTATTGAGATCATCTTCTGGTTCTGAGATTTGTAAACATTGTTTAGATTTTGCAAATACAATAGGATGTGAAAAAAATGAATTTTTGCAATGCTAGAAAATGTTAGATTCAATCGAAGTATTTATATTCACTCACCAGACCGCATCTCACGATTTCTGAATAATTGTCGATTAACGGTCACTAACCACCACAAATTGTATTATATTGTGCAATTTTCTAGCATTGTATAAATTCATATTTTTTAAAATTTAAAATGTCATTCTTGTTCCTCAACACGACAGACAAGAATGAAACAACTACACGGAAAACAAACACTTTGAGTGAATATAAATACTTTGATTGAATCTAACATTTTCTAGCATTGTATAAATTCGTTTTTTTAATCTAAAATTTTCTAGCATTGTATAAATTCATATTTTTCACATCCTATATGGATTTATAAAATCTAAACAATGTTTACAAATCCCAGGACCTGAAGATGAGCTCAATAAAGATCGAAACGATGGCACGATGAAGATAATGGTTTTCTGAAACTTGCATCACACCAGACCGCATCTCACGATTTCTGAATAAGTAGTACAATGTGTGGTGTCTAGTGACCGTTAATTAATGATTATTCGCGAATCGTGAGATGCGGTCTGGTGTGACGTAGGTTTTAGAAAAACATTTTCTTTATCGTGCCAACGTGTCGATCTTTATTGAGATCATCTTCAGGGCTCAAAGGGTTTGTCTTCTGTGTAATTGTGCCATTCTTGCGTGTCGTGTTGAGCGTGTCCCAGTGGGCTTGTGTAATTGGCAATTGTATAAATTCATGTTTTTGAAAATCTAAAATGTCATTCTTGTTTCTGAACACGACAGACGAGAATGACAAATTTACACGGAAAACAAACACTTCGAGTGAGTACAAATACTTTGATTGAATCTAACATTTTCTAGCATTGTATAAATTCATTTTTTTAATCTATAATTTTCTAGCATTGTATAAATTCATTTTTTATCTAAAATTGTTTAGCATTGTATACATTTTTTTAATCTAAAAATTTCTAACATTGTAAAATTTTTTTTCACATCCTTCGTGTATTTGTAACATTTAAACTATGTTTATAAATCCCAGGCCCTGAAGATGATCTCAATAAAGATCGAAACGTTGGAACGAGAAAGAAAATTTTTTTCTAAGCCTACTTCACACCAGACCGCATCTCACTATCTCCGAATAATCTTCTTAGTAGTTAGTTACACAGACTTAGTAGTTCTACGATATTTGAAAAATGGCAAAAAGGAGGGAAAATTCAAAAAAAGGGGGAGTTGAGATGGGAAGTTAGTGCCCGAGTGGATCGAAGTCAAGATAGCTCAAGTGGTAAAGTAATGGCGTATCTAGCCGAAGATCGTGGGTTCGAATCCCGCTTGTAGCACTGACTTTTTTATCTCAACTAAAAACCTTAATTAATTGAAAGATAAAGTGGACCACGAACACTAGTGAAGTTATTTTTTATTGTACGTGTTTGAGGCATTATTTCACTATAAAAAAACAGCCAGATTTGGTCTTGTAACCAGTTGATGTTTCAATCTTTGGACATCACAAAAATGGAATTCATAAAATGTTTATAAAGATGTGTGTGAATGCGATATTCACAAGTATAATAAATAATGATTCTAATGATAAGTTTTAACCTTTATTCATCCTTTTTATTGTACAGTATGCTATAGATCAACGATTTATGTTTTTAATGATGTCATATGTAAATGTCACAATATAAATATGGTACTTTATTTTACGAGTTGTCTTTTGATGGCCTCTGCGCCGTCGTAATTGTGTTTAATTTGGGTTATGGTTTGAATTATGTTCATCGAAATTTCAAATACTGGACTTCATGTTTACGCAATTCATTTTTTGATAGGGGCTTTAATATGTATAAGCAAAATATTGAACAAATCAACGACAATATGTGAAAACCGCCCACAAACGAGTGTTGCTGCAAACATATTTCGTAAAACGCTTATATAATAATCAAAGGTAATAAATTAAGTTTCATGTACATTAAAAAACTCTCGTACTTTATTAGTATGTTTTTCGGTATTTGTTAATTTTTTTTAACGACGTGGGTTATTTTGATTAACGCGTATCAGGTGAACATGCTATACAACCGAGGATACATTTGTAAAATCAATTTTATGATTTATTTTATTAGGTTTCGTGGTCGGCTTGACCAAATAAATTTTTTTCAATTAATTGAGGTTTTGGTTGAAATAAAAAAGTCAATGTCACGAGCGGGATTCGAACACACGACCTTCGGCTAGACACGCCGCTGCTCTACCACTTGTGCTATCGTGACTTCGATCCACTCGGACACTAACTTCCCATCTCAACCCCACCTTTGGAATTTTCCCTCCTTTTTGCCATTGTTGACTTTTTTATCTCAACCAAAACCTTAATTAATTGAAAAGAATTTTGGCCAAGCGGACCACGAAACCTAATAAAATGTAATAAGCAAAATGAAGCTTCACTAAAGCTCTCCGTGGCCATTTCATTTGTCGCCGAGAATCAAATAGATTACACGACATTTGAAAAATGGCAAAAAGGAGGGAAAATTCAAAAGGTGGGGTTGAGATAGGAAGTTAGTGTCCGAGTGGATCGAAGTTAAGATAGCTCAAGTGGTAGAGTAGCGTCGTATCTAGCCGAAGGTCGTGGGTTCGAATCCCGCTAGTGACACTGACTTTTTTATCTCAACCAAAACCTTACTTAATTGAAAAGAATTTATGATTTATTATCCGTCATTCTGCCTTCTTTCAACTTTTCGCGGATTGCTTTCACTTGAATTGTTATTGTTTTGTTTTTGTTAGCCTTGATGAAAAGTTTGACCAGGATGAGTCGTCTTTTTATGTTCGTTGTTAGCTCAAATCGTGGTAAAAGTTGTAAATGTCGACGATAATGCTAAACCAATAAATCTCCGATTGTCTCGTGAGCAGGAAGAAGCCGGCGGACCTTGACCGTTGCGGCTTCGCTTCCCGCGACGCCCGACGTGAAAGGAGTATCGAACGCTTTGCCATTATCGATATTAACTTTTCGTCTCCAAAGTGCGATCACGTAACGAGAATTGCGGAATAAACGGTTATTTAAAAAATATAAATAAATAAAAGCCCCGATAATCGATCCTTCGTTTCCGATCCGACTGCGCAACCTTGGGCTGTGAACTATGACCGGTGCTGATTTACCACCTATTTCCCAACGAGGCAACACCTTATATGAATGATTGCAAAATTGTTTGCCTGCGGTGTCCAAATGTATTAATTATTATTATTAATTGGCAGTCCGTGCAAGACCAAAATAGACTTTGATCAATAATACCACATCACTAATTATCATTAAAAAAACGGATTTCGGCCCTCCCATTCACTCCCTATCTCGCCCGCGTGAGTTTAGGAGATTTTGGAGAGAGAAAGAGAGGTATAGAGAAAATAGATAGAAAAAGAAAGAAATCTCGAGAAAGTCTAGTAATAAAACCAAGATTGCGTAGAGCCTTACCTAGATTTGTTTGTTGTGGTCACTGAAATCACCCTTTTTGTTGAAAACAACACAAAGGTTGTAAAGGTAAATGTTTACTTATTAAATCCATTATTTAGTGGTCTATTGACCAAATTATGTCTTTCAATTAATTAATCTTTTTACGTAAGGTTTTGGTTGAAATGAAAAAACTAGGGCCACGAGCGAGATTCGAACCCAGGACCTTCGGCTAAATACGCCGCTGCTCTACCACTTGAGCTATCCTAACTTCGATCCACTCGATACCAACTTCTCATCTAAACCCCACCTTTAGAATTTTCCCTCCTTTTTGCCATTTTTCAGATGTCGTGTATTCAGGAATCGATTCTCGGCGACATATGAAGTGGCCACGGGGAGCTGTTAGTGAAGTTAAACATCGTTTTACTTATTAAATCCATTATATCCAGTGTTCTATTGACCAAATTACTTCTTTTAATTAATTAATCTTTTTATGTAAGGTTTTGGTCGAAATGAAAAAACTAGTGCCATGAGCGGGATTCGAACCCACGATTTTCGGCTCAATTCGCCGCTGCTTGAGATATCGTGTCTTCGATCCACTCTGACACTAACCGTAAAGGGTTACAATAAAACAGGTTTTGGACTTGAATGATTGGATTCTATCGGAGTTTGATGCCCCATATTTCCATATGTAAGCTCATATCAATTTGTGTTGTATAAAGATAAGCCTTTTATTGTTGAGGGATAGTTTGAACCGCTGTCTAAGAGTAAAGAGAAAACGGTATTGACTATTATATTTATAGAAAAATCCTGTTCGAACGAATTTTGTGTGAAAGAATAAAATATAAATTGAACTGTTTAAATAACTAATTAGGCAATATATATATTAAAGCCGTGAACACACTTACCCGATGCAACGCTATGCGACGCAACCCGATGCTACCCGACGCAAATCCAAAGTCCAAT